AAAAAAAATAAAAAAAAATGTGAAAGGGCATAAAGAAGGGCATATTGAATTCAGTCATGGGATCCACACACCCACCCCCTCCCCAAAATGGCAGAAATGGATTCCTTAAGATATTAGTTTTCTACAGTGCATCCCACAGGCCCCCGGGGTCCCATTGCATGGAATCCATAAGGTCAAATCTGGTTTTAAAATAATACTAGGATATAATTTGCCTCTTCTCACTGTGTTCATACTGGTGCTGATATGGCAAAAGCAATGGTGGGCAAAACTGTTGGTTACACAACCTGAATTAAGGTAATGACATCAAATTCCATCGGAAGTTGCACTAACATGCACGTTAAAAATTCCTGCTACTCAGGAATCAGATGCAGGAGGATTGCAAGTTTGAAGCCAACATGGGAAACTTAGTGAGATCCTATGTCAAAAAATAAAAAAATGTATCTCAGTGGCAAAGCACCGCTGGGTACAACACTGACTCCACCAAAAAAAAAAAAAAAAAGTTTCACAAGAAGCTCAGGATGAAGCAATAAGAATTGTTAATTTTTAAAACTCTTGACCATTTTTTGCTCTTGAAAGTATGCTCATTTAATTATTATAAAAAATTACTATACTAGTAGATAAGAGATTTATTGTTATAATTTTGATAAAGTTGTAAAAATTTTATTTTAATTCTTAATCACAAATATTAAAAAACAGAATTCATACAAACAAAAAGCTCTTTTGAGATTCTCAAAATTTTTTAAGTGTTTAAGATTATAGGTGTGTGACACCTATAATCCTGAGACTAAGATGCATAAAACTGTTGTTTTAAGGCAACAAAATAAGAGAAAATTCTGAAAATCCAAAATATTCAGCTCCAGTCCATGTAAGGATAAATTCATTTATTGTCACTATTGTCCCTAAGTTATGTTTATATTGTACCTAACAGATACATATGAATTCTCTAAGAAATTTTAATACAATTTAAATTATCTTTGCTATATTTTTGGTAGAAAGATATCAAGAAATGACTCCAATATTCCTCGATTGTTTGGGCATTACTGAAGGGAGCCAAGTGAATTACATACCATACTTGGTTTACTCTTCCTTTTTCTTTCTCAAAATCATATTTAGTTTGTAAAAAAGGTGGTCAGGGCTGGGGATGTGGCTCAAGAGGTAGCGTGCTCGCCTGGCATGCGCATGGTGCTGGGTTCCATCCTCAGCACCACATAAAAATAAAATAAAGATGTTGTGTCCACTGAAAACTAAAAAATAAATATTAAAAAATTATCTCTCTCTCTCTCTCTCTGTCTTTAAAAAAAGGTAAAAAAACAAGGGAGAGAAATGAATTACAGTAGATGGGGTAGAGAGAGAAGATGAGAAGGGAGGGGAGGGGGGATAGTAGAGGATAGGAAAGGTAGCAGAATACAACAGTCACTAGTATGGCAATATGTAAAAACGTGGATGTGTAACCGATGTGATTCTGCAATCTGTATACGGGGTAAAAATGGGAGTTCATAACCCACTTGAATCAAATGTATGAAATATGATATGTCAAGAGCTTTGTAATGTTTTGAACAACCAATAATAAAAAAAAAGAAAAGAAAATTAAAATTTTTTTTAAAAAAGGTAGTCACTGGACATTTTGGCACACACCTATAATCTTAGCAACTCAAGAGGCTGAGGCCAGAGAATCACCGGTTTGAGGCCAGCCTTGGGAACTTAGTGAGACCCTGTCTCAAAATAGTTTTTAAAAATGAAAAGGTCAGGGTTGGGGTGTAGCTCAGTGGATGAGTGCTTGCCTAGCATGGAGGCACTAGGTTCGATCCTCAGCACCATATAAAAATAAATAAATAAAATAAAGGTACTGTGTCCACCTACAACTAAAAATTTAAAAAAAAAAATGAAAAGGTCTGGGGAAAGCTCAGTGGTTTAATTCCAAATGTCATCAAAAGATATATAACAAAAAAACAAACAAACAAAAAATAGTAGGTACCAAGCCTTTTCAGGCTAGACTTCCCATGCTTATTTAATATTCTGTTGTATTTTATAAAGGACTTTGTGGTTTCCTATGATCTGTCATATGAGAGGGAGACTGTATATTACTCCTCTAAAATTGAGGACATAAAACTTCTAAACAAAATGTCTCAACATTTTTGTGAGATGATAAAAATGCTGTAAGGCAGGCCCCAAATGGCTGTAGTTAGACTCCCACCTCTAGGCTTCAGGTGTTTTCTGTGTGTAGTCAAGGTCATCACCATTCTAATTCAAAGTATGTACTCAAGTACACAAACATTTGTTTGTGAGCACTGTCTGAGGTAACCTGTAGGCAGTCTACCTTCTTCTTTTTTGGCCTGCATTTTAAAAAGGCCTGAGGAAATGGCTTGGGGGCAAAATGGAACTGACTAGGGGCTGAAGCTGGAGCTGGGAGCTAGGGGTTGGGGGTTATTGCCATCCCTGAATAAAGTATGTCTAGATCCCAACTGTGTCTTGCATCTTCTTCCATCTGCTGGATCCCAAATGTGTTTCTCAGGATCTGAATTTCTGTACAACAAATGCTGACTTTTATTTCCAAGCCTGTGTCCCCTCCACAATAAATAGGAAAGTAAGGTGGGGAGAGCAGTTGGAGCTTAAATTTCACAATGGAAATATTTTTAAATTGAATTTAGTTGTAATAAGGAACCCAAAACTTAACAGGAGTGGTGGGACCCAAACATACTCTTAGCACTCCTAAAAATGGGAGTTTTAATAATATAAAATATTAAAAATCAGCAAAAGCTGCAGAGGGATGGATATACAGCTATACTCCTAGGCCCAGGTAAGAAAATTTAACTATATAATCTACTATATTACCTGCCGATATCTGATGACCCTTCAGAGCCAGACATGTTTTCCCATCTGGGGCTTTCCTAAAACCTTCACGACATGAGCACTGAGCAGTTCCAAACCTCTCTTGACAAATATGCTCACAGCCCCCATTCTGATGTAAGCAGGGATCTGCACCTAGTGGAGAAGAGGTAAATTCATAGATGAGTTTGTAAAGGATGCTATTGATAGAAATCACAGTCCACAGCTTTTGGGGAGAGCAGCTGAGTGTATCAATAGCGAGTGAATGTCAAGAGTTGTTTCAGAAGAGTTCCCAAAAGGAGCCACTGATTCTAAGGTAAGCTCAGAATGCGATGACCTTGTGAGTATGTATTGAGTACAGCTAGTAATTTTATTCAAAAAGCTCTTTAGTCAGATGTGATTCTTATTTCCTGACTCATAATCTAGTCACACTGACAAAAGACAATTCAGAAAGAAGAGCTACAGTAAGAAGCTAGATGCTTCCTCCATTTGCTTATTACTCTCCAACATTCACTTACTGGCATGTCAGGGGGTGGGGAAAAGCCCAGGTGTAGGTGGAAGCTTCCACTGCAAGCACCTAAAATGCCTGTCCTTGGTGCCTTTTGCCTGAGGGTCTTTGAAATTTGAAGTAAAAGTTACTGGAGAAAAGATGAGGTTGGTGAGATAAAGCCCAGATTACCGACACTACCAAATTAGGGATAAAGCTTAAATCGTCAAACTTCAAACTGTCTTAATTAAAATGAAGTCAAAATCTTAGAAAATCTTAATATTTATGCAGATTAGTGAAAAATGAAAAACCCTCTCCTTCCCCACTGTTGGCTATCAATTAGAATAGTTGCAGATTCCAGCCAAGGAAAGACTGCATAACATCTCCAGTGTACCTGGTTTTGCCAATGGATGAACCACAACCAGTGAGGAGGGCTTCAGCATGCTGCCTCGGAGACGTACCCTGTTTTTGCCAGTCCTCTTGTTCACCCTTATTATCGATTGCATAGCCCAATCTGAGAACCACACGTGATCCTCAAACACAGCTACAGCAAATGGATGACCTGGAAGCAATTCAAATTTATTAAATATGCCTTCATGATCTTTTTCAGTGAATATTTACAAGAAGACAAATCTTGAAATCTACATGATTCTTACACTAATCAGTTCTTAACTGCAGTTGCTCAGCAAGGAGAACCCCCATGATGAGGGAACCACATTTTAGAATGGAAGCCTCGTGGTTGAGGTCCTAGAAAAATCCAGAAATGATTGTCTTAACAGAACCTAGAAGAAAGAGGTCAAAGCAGGAATATTTGATGCTGAACACACCTAACACTCTTTACAAACTAAAGCTATTTTGCTGCTCTTTGCCTCAGGTTCCTTGTCTTTTGAATGGCTGTAATAAGCAGTAGGGCAAAATCACAGGTTGCTGGAAGAATTTTTACAACTTTGAGGTAACTGAGTGTTTCTTCAAATTCTGTTTCTACCAACATATCTCCCTGAGTTAGGCCCCCACCTCCTTTCCTCTCTCTCCTCTTACCTAATTCTAGACAGTGACTATGCTCCTGGTGTCATCCTTCCCATCTTCTATAGGGTCTTATTTCATCAGCAATTACCTCTATCTCCTACACAGTCACTCTCTTCACTCCACTAGCTTCTTTCCCTCAGTCTACCCGTATCCTCTCTTCTGTCTTAATTTACTCACCTCTCTGAACCCTCTATCTTTTGTCTCTTTCCTAAAGAAGGTTTTTTTTTTTTTGAAAGAGTCATGTAGTATCTGATGCCTCCATTTTCATGGCACCTAGTTATTGACCATTTTGTGGGCTTCCTTGACCCCCTCCTCAAGCAAACTCACCTCCCATACCATTAAAACTGCTTTCACAAGGGATCCAAGTACAAGAAAAGCATTGGAACATTTTCACAAACTATCTTCAGCAGTTAAACATTAAAAATAAGGAAACCCAAGTTTGGAAGCTTGAATATGTCTATTCACATGATTCAATTCAGGCCAATCTTTTTGCAAATGAGCAAGAGATTCTCTGGATTAGAATAAATGTCTCCCTCTATTGGCAGCACACTCAAATGACTTGTCCTGGCAACAGTGAGTCCACTCATCACTGTTGCCCAAGATGTATAAGATTCACTTCAGTCTCTAGCCCTTTGTCCCAAATTATCAGAAATACAAACAGCAAGGGAATTCTGTTTCATAGCTATAGTTTTTTGTTTTTGTTTTTGTTTTGTTTTGTACCAGGGATCAAACCCAGAGCACTTGGGGTCTTGCTAAGATGCTGAAGCTGGCTTTGTACTTTCAATCTTCCTGCCTCAGCCTCCCAAACTGCTGGGATTATAGGCATGTGCTACCAGGCTGGGTGCTATAGTTCTTTTTACCATGGCAAAACCACCTTACACAAAATTTACCATTTTAACCATTTCTAAACATACAGTTCAGTTGTATTAAGTATATTAACAAATTGCTGTGGAAACAATCTCCATGACTTTTTCATCTTGTAAAGGTGGAAAAAAATGGAGAGTTGTTTATACTGATTAAACAACTCTCCATTTCTTTCTCCCTTCTAACCCCTGGTAAATACTTTTCTACTTTCTTTTTTTTAATATTTATTTTTTAGGTGCAGATGGACACAACACAATGCCTTTATTTTTATGTGGTGCTGAGGATCGAACCCAGGTCCCACCCATACTAGGGGAGCACTCTACCGCTGAGTCGCAATCCCAGCCCTACTTTTCCACTTTCTGTCTGTATGAATTTAACTACTCTAGATACCTCAAATAAGTGGAACTGTATACAGTATTTCTCTTTGGGGGACTGGTTTATTTCACTTAGCATGATGTCCTCAAGGTATGTCCATTCATGTTGATGCACATATTAGAATTAGCTATAGTGTTTCAACAAATAAGCCATACTAGACACAATCCTTACTTTTTATCAAAGAGCCATAATTAATTGATTTTTTTTTAAATTAAAAATGAATTCATTCAATCTTTATGTTAAAAATCCTGAATTGGCTGTTGTAAAACCACCAAATAAATACTAGTAGATGGCTTTATAATGTTGGGGACAGTTATTTAGATAATTTAATATAAAATTATTTGATAATAGTCTTCGATAGAAAGTCTCACAATATTTTTAAAAATATTTATATTTTAGTTATAGGTGGACACAATATCTTTATTTTTATGTGGTGCTGAGGATCGAACCCAGTTTTTAACATTCTAATTAGGAAATTTCAAGTCCCTTTTTACCCTCTATGTCAAAGTCATGATTTTATATTTATTTGGGAAATATTTTAAAAATATTTATGTCTCCTCAACCAGATTCCATGACTTCACAGAAATCCTATTTTTTATTAAGCCCTGTATCTCCACCTTCTATGACAATTGAATAAAAACCTGTTAAGTACATGGGTGGATAGAGCTAAAACTGTATACAAGTTTATCATTTATTATGAGGTATGTGTTTCATTAAAAAAAAACAAAACCTTAGAAATACCTAAAAAGTTTAAATCATACTTATCTTACCCTATTTCACATATAACAGAAATCTAAAACATGATTGCCTTTAAAACTAAAGAAAACAGGCAAAATAAATGTTTTATACAGATTTTTAGTTTGTTAATTTCCTAAATGATAGAGACCTTGCTTTTTTTTTTATCTCTCCAACCAGTTTTCTAAATCTCCAAAATATCTTCAATACGTTCCTGGCTCTCATCTTCTATATCCTACCTGTTATTATATCCTCTCAGTTTTTTTAATCCACAATAATTTTTAATTCTCCATTCCACTTTTAAATGACAATGTTTTGTACTCAGACTTTCATTGTTGCCTGGAAAACTGATGTAGCCTCCTGTTTTTTTTTTTTCTTCCTGTCTAAATTCCAGTCCAATCCCTTACACTGTTATCTAAGTAACATCCAGAGATGCCAATCTTGTCTACATCTCCTGCTCAAGAACATTCAAAGCCTTCCTAGTAAATTAAGAATTAAGTTCAGTCACCATGTCCCAGCATTTATAACATATAAAGGCCAATTTTTTGCCTTTTGTCACCATCTATTTACTACATGGCCCAGTTCAAAAACTATCTTTGCAAATTCCCTGAATCATAATGAATCTCACGCTGCTTATATAGTTTCAAAGACATTTATACTTCTATTTTAAATGCTGTAGTGTTTTAAAGATATTTATGACAACAATGATACCCCATACAAAATGTGAAAACACAACAGTGGACAAACTATATTCATTAATATTTGCACATTTTATCAACTGGTATTCATCAGTGTCTGAAAATGATATCACTGCTATGAAATGAAATTTTCTAAAACATGAGAAATGATAATAGATGAACCAAGTTTTTATTCCCAAGTAAGTTCAGAAAAATAGGATATTTTCATGCTGATTTTGAGAAATCTTGGAAAAGAGAAATGATTATACAACACTACCTTTTACCAAACATTCCAATGTTAAAGTGATCCTCATAGCTCATAATTCCCTGAAGAAGTGCCCCTATTCCTTTCTCACTGTATGGTTAAGTGTGTGTGTATGTGTGTGTGTGTGTGTGTGTGTGTGTATGTGTGTGTAAACATGCTTTATACTGAATACTCAATCAAGATGAAGAAATCACCCACCCAAAGCCTCACCTACATCGTTCTGGGCAAGTCTTTGGCGTTTGGAACCATCCAGACTGGACATTTCAATCACAGACCGCTTGGCATCACACCAATACAATGTGTCCATTACGTAGTCAATGGTTATTCCACTGGGCTCTACCAGATCTGAACTGGCTATCACCAGCCGGCCAGAGCCTTGAAGGGAAGAACTTTCAATTCGTGGATTAATCCCCATATCAGTCCAGAATAATCTCCTTTAATCAAGAAAGCACACAATAAATGAAATCTGCTTAAAAAGGTTCTTCTACTTTCTTATCATTGAGAATATCAATAAAAATGATGTTTGGACATACTAAAGTGGTACACTGAAGAATGCAGAGAGAATATAACATGGCGTCTTGAAAACAAATAATTTTCAGAAGCAAAACAAGTATCTGGTCTATGTAAAACATCTTGGACAAGAAATACTGAATTACAGATCAGATCATTAGATTTAAAAAGGAATTAGTTGAAAAATTGTAGTAGTATTATCAAAGTGTGCTTGAGTAAATACTCTGAAATTACTGAAAAGTCATGAATCTTGCTAGCCTGTTGAAAGGCAAGTGACTCACCCAAGGCGGAGATTCGACCAAGAGATTTTATTGGGGGGCTGCCCGAAGGGGAAGAAAAAGAGAGGCAGAGAGCAGAGGAGAGGAGAGGGTAGAGAGAAAGAGAACAGAGAGGAAGAGAGAAGAAAGAAATGAGAGGAGAGAAAGAAGAGGAAGAGAGGAGGAGGGCAGAGAACAGAGAGGGTATGCTTATAAGTTTCGGCTTAAGAAGGGTTGAGTAGGGGACATGGCAGGTGCTGATTGGCAGGGTGACTCAGGAACACTGTGTCCTGCATGGATTGGTTAAGAAAACCTTTGAATTTGGCGCTCTTGGACTTGGCGCCCTTCTGAGAGAAGGGAGAGGGGTCAGAGATTCTGTGATGTTCTCAGGAGACTGAAACATAACTTCAGCTGGGAGTCTCCCACACACCCAACACCTGTTTTCTGTTATGCATGAGTAAAACTATAACATAAAAGGAAAAGCATATTTATCTGTTTTCCAGTTTTACAATGCACTGTTTACTCAGCTAATTTTAAGTTCCATAATCAGGTGCTGAACACCTACTTTTTTTTTTTTAAGTCAGTATGGTTCAATATATACTTATTGGCCTACTTAGAGTTGGTTATATTCGCACTGCTTTAATTTGGCTGACACAAATAATCCTCAATTACTACAATATATTATCTCCCATGGACCCCTGTGAAATTTCCATCATAAATAAAACCGGGTTGGTTTTTGTCTTTGCTTTTTAACAACCAGGAAGGAATCCTTTATTCTCCTTAATTCTCTAACCCCTAAGCTAAAATGTGATACTAATTCAATAATAAACAGCATAAAATCTTTTAAATTTTCATAATTTATATTTAATCTTGTCTAAATCTAGAAATGGCCTATCATTTGAAATCATCTTATGGCTTCCCTAAATGGAATTCGTAAGTCACACAATCCAAATTCTTTTCTGCTCAATAAATAATCATGTAGATTTTTAAAGAGTAAATTAATGGACTTAAGTCTAATTGGTTAATGATGTACAGCCTATCTTTAAAAAAAGAAATTGAATTTAAATTTAAATTTTATTTTATTAAAATAAAAAGGCATGTCAACAAAATTATTACATAAGAACAGAAAATCAAAAGATATTAAAAAGATGAAGAATGCTTGCTAGCCACATCATTTCTGAACATTTATAGATCTCATGGATTTTCTTGGCTTCTGATTCCACTGACCACCTGAAGTCTTAAGATAAATTATGGACCCTGACATAACAAATATGAACTGTCATATGACCTAGGCAGAAAGGTGCCTTATTGTCTTAAATACCTACTTGGCCACTGGATGAACAGCAATTCCTCGGGGCTGAGATAGGTTCTCCTTAATGATTATTTGACGATGTTTTCCATTTAAGTCACTCCCTTCAATGAGAGATTTCCTAAAATATACATAAAATAAAGGGTTTGTTATTTTCAACTTGATTTTTCAAACGAAAGTTCTCTGCTCCTGGTATGCAAAGATAGACATTCTGAACTATTCCCCCCATCCCCGCCCTTTTTTCTCTTTCTCTAACACACACACACACACAAACACAAAGTTAGCACCAAGAAGCCCACAAATTCTATTGTTTTGAAACATATTCTTAATTAGTATCCCAATATTTATACAAGGGGACAAGATAAGTAAAAGGGGATTCTCCAAGACAAGAGCCCACCCAGTTTCCAGGATATGAGCTGTCCATCAAGAATCCTAAGAAAAGAAGAACTAATACCAATACTTTTCAAGTTATTTCAGGAAATAGAAAAAGAGGGAGCTCTTCCAAATTCATTCTATGAGGCCAACATCACCCTGATTCTGAAACCA